ATGCTTCAAATGCAGACGCACTGACTGGGGATGCACTGCAGCAACATGTTGGGATGCCACTGGTGATATAATGAATTCATCTGTCCGGTTAGATCTATGGGAGCCTCTGTTATGAGCACACATTATGTTCTTGTGTCTGTTGTGCTGTGTGCTTCTTGGATGGCAAAGCACAAGAGTTGGGTTTTGTGTCTTTGGAGCTACAGTGTGATTGTCAGTTGTACTCAGATTGGCTAGATGATTAAATGTTTATTTGAAGTAATTATCTCTGGCTACAAAGCAAACATGCTGCTGATGTTTTCTATCACAGTAAAGTGGGCATCTTACTATTTTGGATTGTTGATCAGACAAAATGATCAGTTTGAAAGTCACCTTGATTCCTATTTTGATGTTTTATAGATGTTATAGCTACTAATTACTGTATACAGTACTTTATAATCAGATCATCATTGCTCATTAATGAGCACTTTGACTGTGTTGTGATGCGCGCCTGCCTAGGTGTATTTATAATAGATACCATTTTGATTAATGATCATATTTAGAGAATTGGCTTATGACGATAACGAGAAACTAAATTAGCTAATTAGTTGACCAGTGGAGCTCCTCCACACTGGTATATAAACAAACATGTCAGACTGTTTCCTCAGTGGAAAATATTACTGACCTCAGACCTGGCAAGTCCACCACATGTTGTTTGTAATGCTATTAAACTATGTTGTACAGCATGTTTTCCTGTTTTAATTGTATTTTTATCTCTAATTTCAGCTTCTTCAGAGCTGGTTTTTGTCAGAGCAGAATAATATTTGACTTCAAGGGCACAGACTTGTCCTACTGCCCTCTCAGAGTGCTCAGTTTCCTATATCAGCACCATTATTGATTGAGAAGCTGAATATTTTATGCTAAGTAATTGGAGCTATTCTTCATTTACACTGACAACGCAAACCTAAATGCTGGATGGTGTGTATATAGTGCTGGAATCCGAGGGATTGATAAGAGTTCACCCTCGAGACATTTTATAAAGCAAAACGACAAATTATGACAATGTAGAACAACTGCAGGGGATTCCTGTTTATTTGGAGAGAATGTTTTTCTTGTTTTATTCCTGTTGGACTATTCCTTGCTACACCCTTGGTTTGTCTATGAATCAAAGCCTCCACAGAAAGCCAGGGGCATTATAACAGCTGTTATGAATAATTTAAATGTGTGCAGCATTCTGCGGTTTTGATAGTCTGAGTTTGTGTAGTTTAGAGAGACTCCATTGCAAGGAAGGACTCAATACTGCTTCTAAAAATGCAAAAGAAATACAGTACAAAATGGTAAATGTCACTGGATCTGCACAAGATCCTTTAATCTCTTATAGGCCGGTGTGAAGTGGATAACATCTCTGTCACTGGCAGGGGCAGAAAATATGTGCTTTCCAAATGGTGATGTTTTTACACTACATGTTTCAGATCTAACCACATTGTCAATGATCAATGTATGTACTGAGGGTACTTCATGTATACAAATTTAAGACTGTAATTGGCTAATGAAAGCTGTAACATCACCATCTCATAGTGTTTCATTTCCAAACTGGAAATCAGAATGTGTTCAAGTATGACCAAAGCAAATTAAAAGTGAAACGTGCAATGTCAGGAGCATAATATATTGTAGACCAGGCCAGATTGCATAGTTTAATGTATTATCAGGAACCGTTTAGAAGGATTTGCATTGCCTGTACTCTACAATATGTCTGTGATTAGTCTTAGCATTGAAACTTAGATTAAATAGACCTCAGTTATGTAAAACATGAAGCCTCGGTGTGCAACATTTCAGATAACTTAAGACTGGTTGCAAACGTTAAACCATGTTTAAAAAGGCCTAATAGTGTAACACCAATCAGATCGTATGAAAACTTGTACACTGTTTGTCAGCCTTACACAGACAGGTTCAGGTGGTGAGAAAAAGATTTTAACACCAACACTGATCATGCTTTTTTGTTCTCTGACATCCTTCTCCGTCTGCAGATCCTGACGACACACCTCTACACAAAACTAATGCACCCCCCAGTGAACCTTCACATGCTCAGGGTCAGCCACAGCCTCCCGGCCTACAACGGCGCACTCTGCCTCCTCAGCGCTCCTCCCCCCTCGGTATGTTTCAGGAGAAACACTTTTCAGTTTTGGGGTGTTTTGAGTGGGTGTTGGAGCTTTCTTCAGAAACAACAAGCTGTTTCCACAGCTCCAGTTCAAGGTCATGCAGTCTGGTGATCACATACGTAACACTACAGATTGGATGTGAGTGTGCGCTTGCAGAGAGGGGGTTGGCAGCTTAGCACCAGAATGTACACTCCATCAACTTAACCACAGCTGATAACTGCAGCTCTCACTTCACATGCTGGTATGTATGCATCAGTAAGAATCAGTGGAAACTTTTAGCCCTGTGATGACAGCGCCATTTCACCATCAGTGTGCAATTTAAAAAAAAAAAAAAAAAAAAGAGGCTATTTTCAATGTGTTATTTTTCTCTGTTAAAGCTACTGAAATTGTCACTGAGCTGCATAAGGAAGACACCAGCAGGGCAGTTTAGAGACGCCGGTGTACTGTGTGTATCTGGGCCTGAGTTCTAGAAAGGTCATTGACCTACGTGGTCCAAAAAAAATTGACCCCGATCATTGTTGGCCAAGGAGAAATAGGTGAATGTAGGCTTTATAGTGCCTGACTTACTTCGGGTAATTAACAGTAAGTATGAGTATACAGTATGAGATACTCTGGCTAATATGGATTTTCTGTATGTTTACATGGCCCGGCTCACCTTTCTCCTCTGTATGTTCCAACAAAGGAAAAGCAGAGTTGAAATGTAATTTGTACTCAAGAATAAGAAAAAAAAGATGTTAAAATTAGCATGTAATGTAAAAAGAAAACAAACCACATGGCATAAGTAAATAACAGTACCTTCAGCTCCATGACAAAAATAACTGTATTTTTTCCAAACATTTAAACCAGAAGGTCTTGTCGCTAATTACAGTGTGTGACGCTCATTCTGTGTACAATAATAGTTAAACATTAATAAATCTCAAAGGGCTGCCAACTGAGTGTTCCTGTATTTAACAGAAAACAAAGCCTCTGAGCTACATGACCTTGAAACTGAGCTGGAAACCATATATATATATTATCACAGCTATTGTTACTAATGAGCACAAGGTTCTGCACAAATCATCCTTACAGCCATGGTTCTGAGACTGCCCCTTGATGGGCCTCTAACCTCCACTGTTCATCTCATTCTCCCTCTGTGTGTGTGTGAATACAGAATGAAAAATAATGAACACATAAGACTGAGCCCTTCTATAATATATCTTAACTGTTGCTTTGCATTGCATCACCGCAGTGATGCAGTACTATACAGCATACTACCTCTCTGCTGATGTAGGCGTCTTTGTTTCATTTGGTGCCAATGTTTGCGTCTTTGCAGCGAATGTGGAATCTTGACACCATCCAGTGGTCATATGGTATATTTCTGTGTGATCCAGAAGGAGCCTTGGCTGCCTGAATCAGAATCTGTGTAAACAAGTGGAGCAGCAGCCCCAACTAGTGGTCACTGCACCACAGTGTATTTCCCCTATGTGTAGTTCCCAACCTTTTATTAGTTGTGACATTTTCAACCAAAGATTAATATTTTTTCTAATTGGATTGTTGCATAAGTATAATGTTTAAAGGCCTGAAGAGTTTGTCAAAAATATTTCCCATGTAAAAATCTCAAAAATTAGAAAAAACTGAATTTGATCTTTTTAAGGTTTTGTCCCAATTATCACCTCGAATTCCTTCAAGTGAAATTCTTCTGGGGGTCCCAACCTCCAGGCTGTGAGCACGTGCTAAGTTTACTGTTAACAGTAGCACACTGATGGCCTTATGTAGTCTTGTTTGTAAGTTATGGACAGTGATGCAAGTATTCAGATCTACAGTGGTGTGAAAAAGTATTTGCCCCCTTACTGATTTCTTATCTTTTTGCATGTTTGTCACACTGTAATGTTTCAGATCATCAAACAAATTTAAATATTAGTCAACGATAACACAAGTAAACACATCATGCAGTTTTTAAATGAAGGTTTTTATTATTAAGGGAAAACAAAATCCAAAACTACAAAGCCCTGTGTGAATAAGTGTTTGCCCCCTAAACCGAATAACTGGTTGGGCCACCCTTAGCAGCAACAACTGCAATCAAGCGTTTTCGATAACTTGCCATGAGTCTGCCACAGCGCTGTGGAGGAATTTTGGCCCACTCATCTTTGCAGAAGTGTTGTAAGTCAGCCACATTGGAGGGTTTTCGGGCATGAACTGCCTTTTTAAGGTCATGCCACAGCATCTCAATTGGATTCAGGTCAGGACTTTGACTAGGCCACTCCAAAGTCTTCATTTTGTTTTTCCTTCAGCCATTCAGAAGTGGACTTGCTGGTGTGCTTTGGATCATTGTCCTGCTGCAGAACCCAAGTTCGCTTCAGCTTGAGGTCACAAACGGATGGCCGGACATTCTCCTTCAGGATATTTTGGTACACAGCAGAATTCAGGGTTCCATTTATCACAGCAAGTCTTCCAGGGCCTGAAGCAGCAAAACAGCCCCAGACCATCACACTACCACCACCATATTTTACTGTTGGTATGATGTTCTTTTTCTGAAATGCGGTGTTACTTTTACGCCACACATAATGGGACACACACCTTCCAAAAAGTTCAACTTGTGTCTCTTCTGTCCACAGACTATTATCCCAAAAGTCTTGGGGATCATCAAGATGTTTTCTGGCAAAACTGAGACGAGCCTTTATGTTCTTTTTGCTCAGCAGTGGTTTTCGTCTTGGAACTCTGCCATGCAAACCATTTTTGCCCAGTCTCTTTCTTATGGTGGAGTCATGAACACTCACCTTAACTGAGGCAAGTGAGGCCTGCAGTTCTTTGGATGTTGTTGTGGGGTCTTTTGTGACCTCTTGGATGAGTTGTCGCTGCGCTCTTGGGGTAATTTTGGTCGGCCGGCCACTCCTGGGAAAAAAAATCAGTATAAAGTCCATAAAAGTACAGTAAATATAACCAGTAAAAGTACTCTTATATAAAAGTGTTATTTTATTTATTACTGCCTCATTGCCTGTGGATTAATGTATAAATGGCACTTAAATTTGTAGCTCAAGGCAAAACTACCTTAATTTGATCTATATCATATTTTAATTTATAACTATTTGTAACCATATATATTTATATGCAAAATCTCATTTTTAAGTAACTGTCAAAAAAGCCATTATCTCCAGTATAAAGTATACTAAATATAAAATAGCATAAAATGGAAATGCTTACATGTGATGTACAAGTACCTCAAACCTGTGTCACTAATTTTGTATTAATAAATAATGAATTTATGGGAAAACATGAGAGAAAATTACTTGCATTTCAGATGTGTGCATTATAAACATCTCAGCATGTTTTTATACTACACAGCCTCTAGGAGAGAAACGCAGAAGGACACAGAGACTGTGATGCCACCAAAGTCCTCCCCTAAGCGATTTGCAGTGGTTCCACCCAAACCTCAGTCCCCTGGTGAGTCTTTACATATCACACTGCACCATGTGTGTGTAGATCTAAACACATGCATATGGAATATATCTTCAACACATTTTCTATCATTTTATCTTTAAAATTTACACGCACACACTCTCTCTCCTTGCTGTATTACAAATCCATGGTACCCTGCTGTTGTCATAGCAACAGACTACCGTAGCTGAAATGTTAGGATGACTCCTTCAGTCCTGCAGGGTTGCATCACCACAACAGAAGTCAGCAGTTTGTCTCTTTCTCAGAAACCAGTTAGACAGAATAGCAGCAGGTGCTGGAAGTTTTAAAACTGCCCACATACTGTAATACACTCATTTTCCCAGTGTGAGAGAGGAAACCGCTGCTGCCTGTGGTCTGAGCAGTGACCAGACTTGAGTAACAGTAGGTTGGAAAGGCCATGGGTTCATGTGGGAAGGCACTGTGTATACCACTGTGGTTCCAGCCAAGCAGAAGTTCATTTGCTTGTGCATGTATGTGAGCTGAGAGAACCAACAACTAACATTGTTGGTTCTACATTGGTGGTGCTGCTGGGAGTGCAGATAATAACTTGTATTTTTAATATTATAATATTTAGGATAAATATTTGTGTGTATGTCAAAAATAATGAAAAGAAGTAGAATATTTCAAAGAAATGTTTCCAGAGTGGCAAGTACAATCTCTAGTTGCTGTTTTGTCTGATGGTTTGTTCGTCTCCCTGCTCTGTTTCTACAGTTCATGGGAGGACAGCTGGAATCCACAGTGCTGTTCGATCCGACAGGACCCAGGCGTTGGACCGAGCTCTGATCCAGCAGCTGCGGGAGCGCTGTGAGCAGCAGGCCTTGCAGCTGCAGAGCCTCCAGGCCCAGTTAAAGAAGGCCTCCTTGTGCCTGGACGTTTTCAGCATCGCTACCCAGCACTTCTATCACAAGGTAGGCTGATAGGCAAGCAGACTTGGTACTGCCTCCACTTTGGGGGAAAAAAAAAAGTCTGAAGTCATTCATCCTAAATCATAAAACAGGACTGTGGGTGTTGCATTACCTTCTCCTCTCCTCCCTGTAATGTCTGTTTGTAGAAACTTTGGCATTCAAGATTTGGCAGCAGTATGATCACAACTTATCAGAAATGAATTCCAGGGGAATACCCTGACTTTAATCTCTGACAAGTTATGTAATGAATGTGATCTTTTCTTGCATTAAAATATTGGATGTTCAGCAAAGATGGACTTTCTAAACCATTCTTGCTTCTAACTGTATTATTGTATGACAGTGACCTAACTTGATAAAAATGAATGTAACATCCATCATGATAGATGCATTGTCCATATTAAGCAAGTTTCAGATCACTGCCAGTTGGTTTTCATGTCACACTGAAATGAACAGAAAGAGTGGCACACTAAAACACAGAAACAAACATCACAGAATGCCCTGGGAAACGGTCTACCAAGTAGATCATTCATTCTGTAGCCTATTTTCAGACCAGGAAACTCAGGCCTGCTGCATTTGGCTTTTGTTGTCAACATTACTTTGTTCACAAAGACAGTGCTTTAAAAGCTTTGGTGAAAATGTTTGGGAATAACTCTGGAGCAGCTCAATTTGTTACTAAAGCTGTTTATGGGGAAATACTGAGGATTCCAAAGGCTTTTCCAGTAGTTTAAACAGAGGGAACTACTGTATGGATGTGATGCATTATGACTTTTTATACATTCACATACACGTGAGCTGTGCAGCATGTGGGTCCCGTCCTACACCCGTATGGCTCAGTGGGAATTAGATACATTTAGTATTTATTTCAAATAGATGTCTCGATATGTCTTGTGAGCATTCTCCTATTAATCACTGAGAGTGGTGTCATAATCAACATGCCCTTGCTTATACAGCTTCTGATGGTACGGACGTTCTGCTTGCACGTGACTGTGACTGGATGTGTTCTGCTTCTCAAACGTGGGCAGAACAAGTTTCTTGCTCTTTCCCAATCCTCTGCTTGCATTTTATTTGCCTTCCAGCCCCACCCATGGGTTTGCTGTACAGTCGGAGATGATTAATGAGAGTATAAGTGTCTGCCTCGGCCTTGCTGTGCTTTTAGTGAGACAGATTGTGAGTCACAAGCAGAAAACCTATTAAGCTCTAATAGGAGGCAGATCTTGAAATGTATGAATCTGACATATCTGTAAATATGAATATGGAGAAGAGAACTTCCATTTACTTTGATTTTCAATCAGTACAGTCTACTAAATGCTGTGCATATAGAATGCAAGTGTGTTTGTATTTCTGCTGTCATGTGCCCTGATAGTCGTGGCTAGGCTCAGATCTTCCTTTCATCGACGTCTTGTCTTTACCTTGTAATCTAGCAACACCGCTCTGTTTGTTACTGCTTATACATGTGTCTGTTGTGAATTCTAAGATGTGTATGAGCAGTGACGACATATGCTGATGAGTTTTCAGAAGGTTTGTGTGTATGAGACTGACTTATTTAGGAAGAGAAAAAAAGAGACTATTTTTTGCCTGAGCATCATTGAATTTGAAGTGATTCCCATATTAATTGAGTTATTTTTGGCACTTAGATTTTTTGCAAGAAACTTTATTTCATTTTTGCAGTCGGTTCCATCTAGAATGTTTTCCATTTAACGTAGAGTACGTACTGAAATGCATGCATGTAGCTATTTTCCCTGAGGAGATTAACAGCAGATAATTGTCTGCTTATTGATTTACCTTCCTCCCCCACCTTCTCCTGCTCCACTCTTTTTGTTTTTTCTAAAAGATGCTGAAGACCACACGTGTGTGTTGCACCCTGTCATGTGAGTGAATGCTATATAGGGTGTGGTGGGGGGGGGTTTAAAGGGAGGGCAGGCAGAGCTGGGCTGGGGCTGGCAAGTCTTTGTTCCAGCAGTGATAAACGCCAGTCGCAAACCAGGAAATGAGGTGAGGCTTTGGTCTTTCTGCTCTCCTCCCCTCTTCTTTCTTTGCCTGGCTCCCTCTCTCTCATTTTCTGTATCTTTCTGGCATTCGCATCTGACACTGCTGCATCCCCAGCTGGCTCAGGGATGCTGCTGTTTGCTAGCTTAGTATGGGCCATTGCTGCTGTAGGCTCCATTTCCTTCCTCTGCGCTGTCTGGACCAAACGGTAAAGACAGTATCTTCTGCAGGCAGCAGGCTTGATGCGGCACTGAGGATTCCTTTATGTATGTGTGCGTGTGCGTGTGCATGGGGGTCTGAGTGTGTCTGTCTGTATGAGCATAATGTTCACTTGTTTCCTAGAGACAGAGCTATTAGAGAATGTAAAGCTGTACATGATTGTGCTGAGTCAAAGCAGGCTTGTCTGTTGCACTCTCCCTTGTTCTTTTCTATTAGTTTACAAGGACATTACTGTACATCACGTGCTGTTGCTGCTGTGCTATATTCAACACTTTTTGCTTCAGTGTGCAAACTGTGTTCCTAATAGTTATGGCTAGTGTAATTCTTAGTGATCACATTTCACTGATTGAGAACTTTCAGTTTGGATGCATTATTCTTGTGTTTATTTGATGTGGTTGAATTTCTCAGCTACAAGAATTCACATGTTCAGTACTGTCCATAACATTCATGCTGTAGTTGCAGCTTTCTGTGTGCTTATTGGACAAAAAGTCCACAGAAGAATTAGCTCTACATTGGAAGCTTTTTATGGTTCTGCTGAAACTGGACTGATTACATGGGTGCAGACAGTGGAGAGGTTACTAAACTCATTACAGTGAACAAGCAGCATGTTTGTTCTTTTCCAGACGGTAAACTATACAGTACTGAAACGATTAGATAATTCATAGAGATAAAACATATAGTTTCTGTTCATTCATTAATTGCGGTTATTAAAAATGTGGTTAGCAACAGTAGATGGTTCTTAAATGTGAGTGATTTACTGTTTTATGTCACTATTATGAATTCTGTGAGCTGTTGGTCAGACAAATCAAACCCTGTGATGAGCATTTTTCACTATTTTCTTGTGTTATAGACCTATCAGTTAATATTAGACACACAAAGAGAATCAATGATATATTCAGTAATAGAACAGATCATTATTTGCAGCTAAAATAGCTTAAGTTGCCTTGGTGAGGGCTGGATATTGTATGGGACAGTTAGAATTCATGTGACACAACGGCTTATGTCACACATAACAGCCTGGAGATCTACAGTAAATGGTGGCGTGTTGGGGGTGTGTTAAGGCAGGACTGGAGGAGGATGGGTAGGAGCAGAGGTGGAGCTGGAGAGCATCCTTCATCGTGAGGTCACTGCAGTTTCCCCCTGATGACTGTGTTTTCCAAGTAAAACCTCTCAGAGGGTAACATCATTACCACTGAGATATACCATCTCATAAATATTTCATTGTTTCTTTGTTGCTCTTCAGCACTGCTTTGTGATCTGTGCTGTATCTCACAGCAACAGTGTGCACAGCTGTCTCACTGCATGTTCAGAGTTATGACCTGCAGTCATTTAACTGTCTGGTGTGTGTGCCTCTGTGAGTAGGATGCACTCTGAGGATGTCCTGTTATGAGTCCCCTGGTGGCTACCAGAGAAGCCTTTACAGTTTAAATGGAAACTTCCTAAATAATATAATATTAAACTTTAAATTGTTTACTAATATTACAGGATGCTGTGAAGCATTTGTAATGCTCTTGATCTATGGTCAGTTTGACCATTTGCCTGTTTGACTAGTGCCAGAACCATCACTTTCATTTTAGGATGAAGCTTACAGAGCAGATGCTTGTCAGACATGCATATGTACAGTCCAGGGTTGTTCACAGCTCTATGTGTTTGCATTTCAGAGTGAGAGTGCCATTGTGAAGGAGAGGGAACTGTCCCTGGAGCTCGCCAGAATCAGGGATGAAGTGGGTAAGCGGGATTCTGTGCGACAGATGTGGCACCACAGGGAGTCATTCACAGCTCACTGTGTCCATACTGTATGTATTTGGACGGGGGCACAATTTTTATAAGTTTGCATTTGTACACCACCACAATGGGTTTGAAATGAAGCAGCCAACATGTTACTGAGGTGTAGACTTTCAGCTTTAATTCAAGGGATTTAACAAAAATATCACACCAGCTGTTTAATTAGTCATTTTTATGCACATTCCCTATTTTCAAAGGTTCAAAAGTAACTGGACAAACAAACATAAAAATATATGGGATTATTATTTTTAATACTTGAATGCAAGTCCTTTGCAGTCATTGACTACCTGAACTCTGGAACCAACCGGGCCTTTACTGCAGCCGCCTTCAGTCACTGCTTGTTTAAGTTTTTCTTTCAGTTTTGTTTTCAGTATATGGAAAAACATGCTCACCCAGGTTGAGGTCAGGTGACGGACTCAGCCATGAAAGAATATTCAGTTTCCTTGCCTTGACTGCATATTGAGAGTGGAGAGCTGCCAAATGCAAATTCAGCCCTTGGAATCAACATCTGGCCTGGAAAAGCACTTGTCAGTATTTTGGAGCCTCTGAAAATGGCTACAATGTTAATGTAATATGTTAGTTAAACCCCTTGAATTAAAACTGAAGGTCTACACTACAGTATCATCTGGACTCCTTGATTTCAAACGCACTGTGGTGATGTACAGAGGCAAACTTATGAAAATTGTCCAAATACTTATGGACCCAACTATATTTCAAAAATGTTTTCACAAATGAGCAAAAATCAATCACAAAATATATGAAGTTGAACACTAGGGAATTCTAAGATAATTAAGAATGCTATTAGAGCAAATATCCAGACATTCTAATAATGAAAAATAATATAATAAACCAACAAACAAAGAGGCTGTTAGGTGTTAAATTAACTTTGGTTCATCTTCCTGATAATAAAGTAAACTTTTGTAGTGAATGATCTAAATTTGAATCCAGCAAAACAAACTATATCTCTGCACTGTTCTCCAGCTTTCAGTGTTGCACACTGGGAGCAACTGCAGCAGGAGAAGGAGGAAATGGAGCGCTGTTTTGAGGCTGAGCTGCAGGGACTGCAGGCTCAGCAGCAGGAGGAGCTGGGAACGCTTGAGGAGCGGCTGAGGACGCAGCACATGGACGAGACAGAGAGCCTGCAGACACAACAGCGAGCTGAGCTGGAGGAGCTACGGGTCAAACAGCAAGAGCAGGTGTGTGTGTTGAAGACTGGACTTAAAAAAAAAAACATTTTACAAAAAACCATTTTCTCACTCACCTTGACCTACTGTACCTATGTGGCTCTGATATTCTTGCTTTCAACTGAATACAAAGCATGAGTTAAATTTTGCTTGTGGTTCTCAGAGCATTCTCTGGTTCTCCCAGTTATTCTGCATAATCCACAGATCTCACCGTCAGTCCATTATAGAATATCGAGTATGCATGCATGAATGTGTTTTTGTAAGTTATCTTTGTCTGAATCTTGGCCACAGATTGAGGAAATGAGTGAGAACCATGAGACATCCTTGATGGAGATGGAGACGGTTCACAGTGACACACTGGCCACTCTGCAGGAGGAGCATGCCAGGACTGTGAAAAGTATGCATCATATATAAAACTGGGGGCCTTATTTTAACTGTATGCTCTTGGGTGCACAGACTGTGTGGGCTTCTCCAGGTGAACCTGATGTTTTGGTTCACGAGCACTGGCTGAGGTGGAATACAAATAGAAGGGTGTGGCGACTAATAAATTCACTCTTAGCCAGTCATCTCTGGTTTCATGCTCTGAAACAGCTGTAGCAATCACAGTGACGTATAATGACAGCTCATTTAATGGAAAGATGCTTCTCCAGGAAATCATGTTTGTCTGGATGTTGTGGAGCAGCATGTCGGGAACACACGCGCCACAACAGTAGAGTACAGTTACTTTATAGCAGCCTGGTGTGGTTTGCCCATGATTTAATAAAGGTAAACACAGTAGACAGCTGTGCATAATGGCACTGCGCTCTGACACAGCACTTCTCAAATTATGGATCAAATTTATCAGCATGTCCTGCTGATGTCAGATGGCTGCAAGGATTTAATGAGCTGGAGGCGCTTTTCATATACAGTACAGTAGAAACCAGCTGTGGACAACAGTTACTGTAAAAATCACATTATAGGAAAATGCAGACTGATGTACACAGTTTAGTTTTTAATGCTGATTTACACATCTACTTAATTAAAATTGTTCATAACCTATGCTATATTTTAAACTTTGACGTACTGACTCTGCTGCAGGTTAGGAGCAGTAATCACACTGTGCGCTATGTCTTCTGTTAGATTTGAAGATGGCTCATGAACAGCAGAGGAAGTCTCTGGAAGAGGACTTTGAAAAGATCAGACTCTCACTGCAGGTAAACAGTTGATGATTTACATCTTTATAGATTAAAAAATACAATACATCCTGTGGTAAGGTAATGCACCTAACAAGCAAATATCTTTGTCGTGCAGGATCAGGTGGACACACTGACATTTCAGAATCGTAGCCTCAGAGACCGAGCAAAGCGCTTTGAAGAAGCCCTCCGCAAGAGCACAGATGAGCAGATAGTGGTAACTGCTGTGTGACACAGTACACATGTAACCCTTTTGCCACCCGGCTCGTTATAGTAAGGGAATAGCTACTTAGTGCATACCCCTCTAAACTCAAAAGAACAAATTGGCAAGAGAGACATTCCAATGTAAGAAACTTTGTCTAGGGTTCAGTATGATCCTCACTTTTAAAGCATCAATTGGAGATTTCCCAGAAATGATATTACTTCAAATAACTCAGAATACGTATGTACTTTGTTACTTGTAACTTATGAAGTAAGCACAGTTTGTTGACCTTAAAGATCGATGGTGGCTTTCATTAATGTGTCCTCCTGTTGGCAGGATGCTTTGGCACCATATAAACACATTGAGGAGGACCTGAAAAGTCTGAAAGAAGTTCTGGAGATGAAGAATCAACAAATCCATGAACAGGAGCTGAAGATTTCAGAACTGGAAAAAATAGTAGGCTTCAAATTTCTGCTTTTCTTAAGCTCCAAAGGAAATCTTTAGAATTTGTTGTTATATATGGTTATGTCTACTGTTAGACAAATGGATAGATACTGTCATTCATGATTTGAAGAATTTAATGTTGTATTCCTTTTCTCTTGTGTCTTTGAGCAGGCTGAAAAGAATGTGTATCTGGAGGAGAGAATACAAGTGTTGCAGCAGCAGAACGAGGATCTGAAGGAACGAATTGACAAGAACCTCGCTGTGTCCAGGTCAGTTTAAATGCATGTGCTGGTTTTAGAT